ATCCATCCATCCATCCATCCATCCATCCATCCATCCATCCATCCATCCACCCACCCACCCATCCATCCCATGAAGCTCTTAATGACCCGAAAGTCCCATTTATTGACATTCCAGCCAGAGAATTATAGGGGTAAAATCTGTACAAAACATCCGTTTTCTACTACCCATGACGTTTTTTCCCCCCAACCCTTCTCACAAACGACCTCAACCCAAAGCAAGCTCATTATCAAGAGTTACATTCATCAAGGAAAACGGGAATGCCGCCTGGAGCTCTTGAATAAAAGGCGGATAAGCGGTCAACAAACAAAAACAAGCAGCAATGCCCACGCAGGAGAGGCGGGAGGAGAAGAAAGGCAGCACTGGCTCCCAAACAAAGGAGCCGGGCAATCCTACAACTGTCTCAAAACAAACCCCATGCGTGGGCCGGACGATCTCTTTCCTCCTACCATCCACCCGCCTGTTAATAAACAAGGCGGGTTTGGAAAGCGCCTTAAAAGGGAAACTAATTAATAAGCCGGAGGAACCGTTTCCCCCAGAATACAAACGGAAGGGGGGTGGATGATGATGATGATGATGCAAAATGAATCGTCAGAATCTGGGAAAGGACACCCCCACCCCTCCCGCTTTCCCAAGCAAATCCTTTTCATTTTCAAACACACGCACACACACACACACACACACACACACACACCCCTTGCCGTTCTCCACTTACCAGCGCTGAGCCCCGCCAAGCCAGCCGCGGAGCTTTTCCCCATAGCCCAGCGCCCGCGCCCGCAGAACTCCAGCCGCCCCTGCCCGAGCGCGGGTGGCAACCCCAGCTGCCGATACCTTTGCTCGGAAAAGCTGAACTGAGCGCGTCGCTCGGCTTCCGGCGCGGGATATCAAGGTTACAAGCCCGGCTCTTAAAGGAGACGGCTCAAAAGCAAGGCAAGTGGCCAAGTTGGGATAGGCGGAGCGGCCGGAGAAGAGGCGAGGCCTCTCTCCTTTTCCAATTGTGCTTGGCGGCGGCAGAAAACAGCTGCAAGAAAACAGCCGCAAACCTATGATTGGTTATCTCGGTTGTCTATTCAAATTGGGGCCCCTCCTTTGAAAGTGGCCGCGGGGGCGGGAATACTCCATCCAGCAGTCAGTCAGTCAGTCTCTCTCCCTTCCTACCCGTACCCCCCATGCCCCAGGAGATGTGGAGAGTAGACCCGCATTGGGCTGAAGGGAAACGAGGGGATGAGAAGAACTGCCTTCCCCGGGCTGGGCCTGCATCGAAGTCGAGGTTTTCCCAATACAGATATATCGTTGGAGGGAAATGTTGGCGCGGTGTGCAAGCACCCGCGCGGTCTCTCGTTCGCTTCGGCACCAGTTTTCGCCTCGAAATTGCCGTTCTGGAATCTCCTGGGTTTGAAGAACCGCCACCCACTCCACCCCCAGCAGGCGGATTTTGGGGACTTCCTCCCGGGAGGCTTATGTGCGAAGCTTTCATGCGGCTGGATCGGGGTCTGGCACTGAATGCCACGTATGAGGTTTATGGATCATCTTTTATGCCGCGGGGTTAATATAAAGGGCACCACGCCGGTGTTGCTTGGTCAACCGACACGATTCTGCCAATGACACTTAGTGTTGTACAGGGAGTCCTCGATTTACGACCACAATGGAGCCCACAATTTCTCTTGTTAAACGTGACATGGGTTAACCCCCCCCATTTTACGACCTTTCTTGCCACAGTTGTTCAGTGAATCACTGCAGTTGTTAAGTTAGTAACCTGGCTGTTAAGGGAATCTGGTTTCTCCATTGACTTTGCTTGCCAGAAGGTGACAAAAGAAGATCACAAAAAATTTGCACCAAGACAAATTCCTTGTGTGTCCGATCACACTTGGCCAACAAAATAATTCTATTCTATTCTATTCTGTTCTATTCTATTCTATTCGACATCATGTGACCTTGTGACACTACAACTATCATTAATGTGAACCAGTTGCCAAATGTTTGAATTTTGATCACAGGATCAAAATTGGGGATGCTGCAAAGGTCGTAACTGCGAAAAACGGTCATATGTCACATTTTTCAGTGCACACAGCCCTCCCAAGCTCCGTTTTCACTGGCAGAGGGTTGCTGGAGGCCACGGCAGCTGAAAACGGAGCTTGGGAGCCCATTTTCGCTGGCAGAAAACTCAGGCGACCACAGGCACCCCTGACACAAGTGATGTCTAGCTGTTCACGCCCACCCTGGCCCCCCAAGATCAAACACAACCCTGATGTGGCCCTCCATGAAATCGAGTTTGACACCCCTGTATTAGATCATCACTAGTTCCAGGATATATCGCTTGCTATCACTGACAGCAGATTTCTGCCCCAGTTTATTGTTTATTCTTTTAAGCGAGGACCCAAATCTTCAACCAGCCTAACCAATAGCTACAGGTTGGGAAAGGGTTTGATAAATAAATAAAAGCTGGCTGCTACATGTCACCTAATGTTAAATAATTGACTGCTGCTGTATGTTAGCAATCAATGTCAGATAGGATCAGGGTTCTATAACCTTTCAGTCGTCAGGGACTTTCAAAAGTTGACTGATCGTGGTAGGGCTGAATACAGAATTTTAGGTGGAGACTCATAAATATTGTTGCATTCAGCAATTATTTGGACAATATTTATGATAATTGATGTTGATTTAGATTGCTCTTTAATTCTGTACAATAGGCAATGGTAAAGGTTCCCTCGCACATATGTGTTTCTGGCTCTAGGGGGCGGTGCTCATCTCCATTTCTAAGCCGAAGAGCCAGCGCTGTCTGAAGACGTCTCCGTGGTCATGTGGCCGGCTTGACTAAGCACCAAAGGTTCATGGAGCGCTGTTACCTTCTCACCAAAGTGATCCCTATTTTTCTACTTGCATTTTTTACATGCTTTCAAACTGCTAGGGTTGGCAGAAGCTGGGACAAGTAACAGGAGCTCACTCTGTTATGCTGTGCTAAAGATTCGAACCACTGACCTTCTGACCGACAAGCTAAGCATCTTAGCCACTGATCCACCGCATCCCTCACTGTGTCCCTCCCGCGTTTGTGCAAGAAAGGAGATAAATTCTGAATAGTTCACAGGAAGCCTTCTAGCAATTTCTTGTTATTTAGATACAGATACAGATTAACAGAGTTGGAAGGGACCTTGTAGGTCATCCGGTCCAACCCCCGCCCAAGCAGGAGACCTGCCTAGACTATTTCTAACCAATGGCAGCCCAATCTCTTCTTGAAAGCTTCCAGTGATGAAGATCCCACAACTTCTGAAGACAAGCTGTTCCATTGTTAATTGTTATCACTGTCAGAAAATTTATACTTACATCTAGGTTGTATTTCTCCTTGATCAGTTTCCATCCATTATTCCTTGTCTGACCTTCAGGTGCTTTGGAAAATAGCTTAACCCCTTCCTCTCTGTGGCAGCCCATTAAGTACTGGATCACTGCTGTCATATGTCCCCTGGTCCTTCTCTTCACTAGACTAGCCATACCGAGTACTTGCAACCATTCATCGTATGTTTTAGCCTCCAGTTCCCTAATCATCTTGGTTGCTCTTTGTTCCTTGTTCCTTATTGAGACTTCTCAGATATATTGCATGATCATATAGTAACTCACCTTTAGCTAGCTGATCACTACTGGTAGATGTGCCCTTGATGAATCTGTGTAATTCTTTAATCAAATGCTTTATTTCTCCTGAATGTGGGCTAGTAGACCTAGGCTGAAGATGTTCGATACAGTTAACCTATGGTGCAAAAATCAAGATGACCAGGAGATGACAGCAAAGACTTGCGGAAAACTCTGTTTCCTGCCATTAAGCTGCCATCCAGATGCTTGCAATCCAGTTTTGATAACCTTGCCTGAACTCAGGATATGTTTAATTGGGTAGGTCACGGTAGTTGCTTACATTAATATTACAGGAAATGAGGAAAATATTTAGTTCATACATTTTTATAGGGCCTCTTTGGTGTTGCAGGCAAGTAAGCCAAAAGTATATTTAAGCATTTTCCCAATAGCCTTGAGAGACAAGGAATTGCATACAGGAAAGAGTGAATAGGTTGCTGCAAGAGAGATAAATTAGTCCATTTGCCCTTTTGCTTGGTGCAAGTCAAGAAAACGGCTTTGTTTTCAGCATAGAAATGTACCCCAAATGCTGCTGTAGCAACTAATGTGCTTTTGAAGGCTGGTGGCACACACATAATTGACTCATTTACAAGGCTGTAACACCTTTAGAGGATCTGTGCACCTAAAAGCACAGATGTGCAAAAGTAGTGCTTTGGACCAGGAGCCACAACCCTGCTCCTGCTCCCTGGGTTGAATCATTTTGTAACAAAAGTAGATTGGCTATCTGATAGAGAAGCTGTTTTGTGCCACTAAGTGGCAGCATAATAGCATGCGTAAACAAAAGTAGGGTAATTTAGTTCATGGGAAAATGTTTTACTAAACACAGCCTCACCCACACAATTCTATGCTTCCTTAGGATTTCTTATAGATGTGTAGATTGAATTTTTTTTAACTCCTTAAGTTTTTGTATTGACTTACTGCTTTTTTGCTCCCAATCAACAGAAGTAGTATTTCAAATGGAATAAGCTGGTGCGATGTTAAGATATGATGGAAGGCTGAGCTGCGTGCATGCTCAAGAGTATTTACATAATTGAAATGCCACATTTAGAAACAGCCAGGACATTTTTCCAGATAAGGTTGATTGCTAATCAGAGATGGTGATGGGTGAAATTTTCCCAGAGAGCCCTGTTTTCATATCACTTCATAATCAGGCAGAGAGCTTTTCATGGGCTCTCAAGTTCTCTGTTTATGTTTTGTTGTTATTAAAACTGTTTGGATGATTTATCCTTGTATTAATATTGATGTTTTCACTTTAATCTGCTTTATTGTAATTGCCATACTCTGCAAGCCATTCTGGGAACTTTGAAGGGCAGGAAGGATATTCAAATTAATCAGTAAAATAAATCCATTTATTTGATTATTTAAATAATTAATTTTAATTAATTAATTTTGATTTCACAATGTTGACTTCAGTGTTCAAATTAATCATTCCATTCCAAGATGTTGTGATTAGCTGCTAGATAATTTTACTGCTAGCTCTTTTATTGCTCCTGGTGGATTTTCTGTAAGATTCTTAAAAATGCAGATTTCTAGCTAACAGACTACTCAAAATGAATTTTGATCCAATTAATAATCTATTGTATTAAGCTCAATTGGCTCTTTTCAATCTGACATATTATTGCAATGAAGTTATTTACCATAAATGTCTATTTAGGGGTGAGTTTCATTTGGTTTTGTGCAGCATGACCATAGGTCAGTGAATGCAGGGCTATAACCGCAGATCAAATGCTAAATATCCCATTCCATTTTCACATTGTTTCACAGAAGGGCCATTTTTTCTGTTTGCTGGTGATGACTACAATATATTTAATCTCTTAAGAGTAGCAAGACTATTACCCAGAGTAGGCATTTGGAACTTCTACACTATTCTTACTGGCAAAGTCATCTGAGGACTACAAGAAGTAACTCATATCAGCTTGGTCAGTCTAGCTTACTATCAGGAGTTCTTCAACTTTCTTCAAGAAGCTTTCTTAGATAATAAACTGCCTTCTTGTGAGTTTACCAAAATAACATTAAAAAGTTCCTTTTTTCCTAGATACCTAGCAGGATTGAAGGAATAATGGAGGTCTGCATTTTTCTATCTCTGATTTATTCCATTATAGTCTATATATATATTCTGCGCAGAAATGTTTCCAGTCTTACTAGGAGATGCCGAGTAAAATCCTGTCTACTTTGTCTACAAATAAAGTCTACCTTACTGAACTATGCTGGTTAGCGGTATCAGGATTTTTTCTGCATTACTGGATCTAGGCTGCAAAACCTCATCTAGTGCTGGTCAGGATGTTTGCAGCATCTTACATTTGATAAAATAAGATTATTCTAAGGGCAAAGCAGTTGCCTATGTGTCCCAGATAGTCTGAGTTGCACAGGATA